TCGCCCGTAAATTATTTTTCCCTTTATTTTTGTTATGTTTTCTTCCTTTTCCAATAGGTATCATCCTGTTCTAATTTTTTTTCACTTTTTACCATTTTCAAAGGCTTCGGCACTGGCCTGTAACATGTCCAGCTGATTTCAAAAAAACGGGACAAGATGAGCAATTCAGATTCTCATTGATCAATGAAAAGCAATGGGAATATGACGTTTATATAACTGTAATTTCTCCCTTTTTTTTTTAATCAACTGTACATGTGATATGTAGAGGAAAGCGAGGCAGGGTGGGTAGGTTTTTGGAAAATATTAGGCATAATTCCTATTCCTCTGTTAGTTATTATCAATATTACCTAAATGTTTCCGTTTTTATGCATAATAACTGAAAATTTCACTTATTATGCATAATTCCTAATGTTTCCGGTTATTATGCATAATAACGGATTTCGGATATTAGCTGTAACATATACATATATAATGTTAGATCAGATCTTTATACATAAATTCATATCGTTTGCGATTCAGCATCCTTATGACCAGTTTATATTTAAAAATATTGATTGTTTGATTGATTCTAACTTTTTTATCTTATGTTTTACAGATAACTTGCAATTGATTAATATTGTAATTTGCTCCTTATGTAAAAGTTAAATAATAATAATTACAATTAGTGTAGGTGACCTTTTTATATAAATCCTGCTGTTGATGCCTGAAGGCGGTAGGTCGGATCGGGAAGTCCTCCGGTTAATGCCTGGAGGCGTAAGGTCGGGGAGTTCTCCGGTCAATGCCTATAGAGGTAGGGCCGGGGAGTTCTTTGGTTAATGCCTAGAGGCTTAAAGGTAGAGGGTAGAGCGAAGAGGCAGAGAGAGACGGTTGAAGTCGAGGCTCACTCTGAGTCACTGCCAAAACCAGTCTAAATTTATCAATTCCACCGGTCTTATCACCACCTCACGCCACGTCAGTCGCGGTTTGGCCGCAGGAGAGTGGCGGCTGGACTTGTGCGTCGGTTGGCGGGGATCCCTCACTCTTCGGTGATCGAATGGGCGTGCATCGTTACACCCCCCTCGACTTCGAAGGATTTTGTTGCCACCGAAAACAAAACTACCAAATAGGTTTCTTAACCATGCCCTGCCTTTAAACAACTAAGATAAACAAAAAAATTGTAGCAACCTACGGAAAACTACATATATGTAGACTAAAAACAACCCGGTAAACCAAACTGAAACTAAACTCGGATTGACGCTCTTCACGGAGTCTGGAACACAACGATGGTTCTTCTGGCGGGTGGTGGCTGTTGAGGATCTCTGGGGCATCCATGTGGTCGGGGCTCTACTGAAAAAACTGATTACTAGAAAGAGACAGATTAGTAGGCCGGATTCAGGTACTTCAGGTGGCAGATTTTGACCACGCGGCCAGTCGCTTTGTTTTTGAGCGAATACACAACTGGTGAGACGACTTTGGTTACTTGGTAGGAGACGGAGAACTTCGGAGCTAAACGTCAGCGGAGAAACATCCTGTATCTGGAGCGCGTGGATTCGATTCAGCTTGATCAACTCGTACGTTTGGTACCTACGGTCGGAATATTATTCGGGGTTGACGGAAGGATCTTCGGTAGCAACGTCGGTTTCTCTGCTATAGTGGTCGTGATATCAGGATAGGGATTTCGTGAGCAAAATTCAAGAATGCCGGGGGAAAATCCGGTGGATCCGCGTTGAAAAGAGTTTCTTGCGAGCATAAAGTTGTTTAGGTTTTCGTCCCATTTTATGTGATCAGTTTCACAGTACTAGGGGCTCATGGTCTTTACGACGCGATTGGTTCTCTCTACGGGGGTGCCGTGAGGCGTTCACGGAGGTGTCAAACGATGCTGAATGCGGTAGTTCTTCTGAGGCACCCAATTTTCGTTATAATGTGGTCGATTAGGGTTCGAACAACCGTGGCGGTGGAAGCTTTTCTCAGGGCGTGCATATCTACTCATTTGGTAAAACGGTTCTGGCAGATCCAGACCTGCGGTAGGTCGCTGAGGAATCTTGAATCGCTGACAGGAACCGCACTTGTGGACATAATCGGCGATTTCGCGGAAAATCCCTGGCGATTCGAGCTATGGTTTTGGCCGTGAATCATGATTTTCGGATAGGATGACGAAATGTTGCGGTTTCGGAAAGCACAGCCTGCACGGATTTATAAATCCAGTTTTCTCCCAACTCGGTTCGGTCGTGGAAGCGGTGCAATAATTTTCCATCTTCGATTTTGAAAACAGGAAATACATCTGGATTAGCAGATGTTTGCAGGCAATTTGTATCGTACCACTTGCATTCGGTAGCGGAGCTAACGACAGCAACTTCGGCGGTAACGACGTCGTCTGATATCGGTTACTTGGTTCAGGACATCTCTTCGGTACATGACCTCAAAATCGTATTGTTGCAGTGACATTATCCAGCGTGTAAGGCAACCCCAGGATTCGGTTTCCTCAGTAACCATTTCAATGAGTGATGGTCGAACATAGCTGTTTTTTGTGGCTTGGCTTGGCTGCTACTCGCATAAGTTATTATCCGTTCCTGTCGGGATATTTCCTGGATTAGAGCAGCTCCCAAGCCTTGGTTGCTGGCATCGACCTGAAACGTAAAAGGTTTGGAAAAATTCGGGCACACGAGCACAAGTGCTGTGGTTACTCGGTGCTTCAGTTCAGGGAACGCGGTTTCTTGTGGCACTTGTCGCTCCTACCGGTGATTCTTCTTAAGTGGGAGGCTCAGAGGTTCTGCTGTTTGTGCAAACACCTGCACAAATTTTCGGTACCAGATGCTACTTATAGGAAACGACGTAATTTACGGGCAGACGTCGGCAGCGATATATACTAGATCGCTCTTTGTCGGAGCTGTGGAAATTTGAAAAAAAAATGTCGAAGATACTTCAAAGATTTCTGGAAAAATTTACACTTCTTCGGATTCGGCACCAAACTGGCTTCACGAAGCTTCATAAAGATGGCTTCTAGGTTGCTCTTGTGTTCGTCCCACGTCTTGCCCAAAACAATGTTGTCGTCAAGGTAGGTGAACGTTTTGTTGTTAATTTCCGGACTCGGCATGGATTCTAGAAGCTGCTAATATCCTTGCTTTAAATCAATACTGGAAAATTATCTGCCTCTGATGTACAGTAGCGGATATGCATTTTTTTGGTGTTGACTCGACGGAAGTCAATACAAATATGGTGCTTGGCATCTTTTCTTGCGGCGCAGGACAAAGGTTTTCTGAAGGTTCAATGACGCCTTCTTGTAGCATCCGGTTTTTCTGAGCGGTAGGGTTCTGGTATCGATATCGCTGAAATGACGTCATCAAGTTGTTTGTGGGGATGATTAACCAAATTTTGGTTAGCGTTTTACCATCTACATGATATTCCTAATAAGTATATTGTTACGAAATAAACCCATACGCACCCCGGTATGACGCCTATGAGTTTTCTCGAGGGCTTCCAGTATGTACTGCGATGATGGGTGACTCATCGTCGGTCACGGCGGTCGGGCGGCGTTCGCTAAAGACAAGCCTGGAAACAGAAGTCGCGATGGGTACTCCAGAAAAACCTCGGAATAGCTAGAAAGGAAGTATGTGTTTAAATATAGTCCATCTTCGGAATGAGGGGATTCAGTCATGAATCGAGTCCAGTAAATGATAGAGTTTGAGACTAGTCAAATCCATTCCAGTCGAGTCGAAATTGTTTTGTATATAATCTCCGTGTAATTAATCGTGTAAATTTGTGTTACTGAGAAATAAATTGTTGAGTTCTACACACGCCGATTTTTAATCACCAATCAACGTAACAATATCTAATATAATCTAGTAGTTTCAGAGATTACGTGTCTAATAAAAATCGACACAGATGCCAGACAGACGGAAACGGACGACCAGTTTTTTCGTATTTTTGGGGTCACGATGATAATAATTGCTTGGTCTTCAGAGGGAACGGGATTGTGAGACGTCATTCTGGCCAAATATTAGATAGGTAACCAAAAATCATACATCATTCAGAAATGAGATCCAAAAAACAACGAGATAAGGTGTTCACCATTATTTACCTTATGATCAACTAAAAGTGGCTACATTAATTACTGCACCTCCCGTACAAGAGTACCTCGTATTATAACCATATTATGTACAGAGGGTCCAGCAATTTGCAAACAAGGAATACAGAGAAAACACATTTGACCACCGCCCCCCTATCACCTATTATTACCCTAGTTGAGGTGCTTCTATAATATAATTATTATATACAGCAACAGTAATTCAAAACTTTTGCCATGCCTACTTGAGGCAGGTAAATAGGCAATCACTAATATAAGTCATAATATCAGTGGTCCTAAGACTGATCCCGTGGTACACCAACATTTACATAAATCAGACTGTATGTTTTGGTAGGTGACATATTGTTTTCTATGGCATAAGTAAGACCAAAAAGGTTGATAATATTCGAGTTTTCGCTATTATCAACTAGGCCATGCAGTGTCCCTAACAGTAATGGTAAAACTATGACATGAAGAGAAAAATTTTAAATGACATGGAGATCGAATGGTTCCTCGTTTGAGAGTGTATTTCATTCTACACATGATAACAACGTTTAAAAAAAATCATCGTACCAAAAAAAAAAGAAAGAAACATATTTATTGACCGGTTAAAAAAGTATGTAATCTTAATCAACGCTCGATATGAACCCCGTGGACCTCTTGATAGCAATAGAAGCTGTTATCTGCTTTATTTTATTTAAAAGTGTTACAGGAATTCAGTTTGAGGATAATAAAGTCGTGTATTTAATATTAAAGAAATCTGTAAAGAACTAAATAAAACTACTTATTTATTTTCTTTTTTAGGTAGTTTTAAAAACTATGAGTATGTTGATAAATTACACGTACAGACTTCTAATATTTTGCATATTTATGCAGGGTTTATTATAAATGTTTCCTACATGGTGGCTTAAAAAAATTCGGTCAACCTATACTGAGTGGCCAAAATAAAACATCAAGAAGGAATGTTGATTTTGTAATGAAACATTATACTTATATAGTCTAATTCTTGTCCGCTAAAGAAAAATTTATCCTGGTATGTATGGCTCATTTGACCATTTTTGGCACATTATTATGTTTAACATGTTTATCACAAGGCCTAGAATGAGTCGGCTTATAAATTTTAGGCAACTCTGGGGCTTTGAGAGAGGTCGAATAGTGGGTCTTCGTTTCGCTAAACTGTAAATCGATTAAATAGGACCTTATCATTTGTGGCAAACTGTTGTTAGGCTTGGTTCCAAGAAAAAACAGCACAGTAAACCAGACATCCAGAGCGTTCCCCATAAGCAAAAACATCATCTATGACTATGAGAGTTGATGTGCTGCCTGTGTTTATGTGTGTTGGAATTATTCTATCCAAGGTAGGTCAGAAACTACTGCAAGATTCCACTTGTCTAGATTAAATATATTTGTAACTATGCTGTATTCACTAAAAAAAGTCACCTCACCAAAACATCACGTGAATCTACCGTTGCTCCGTTCAACAGACCAGTGCGCTTTCCTCAAAAACAGGTGCCCTTTTTCTTTTCTTGTCTGAGGAGAAAGTGCATTCACAAGAGCCTCCTCTACAGAATCCGTCGATGACATGATAAATAACAAATATTTAATGTTAGCATCTCGATCAAAATGAGATGTGATCAATGAAAATGCGTATTTCGACTGTCCACGTGATGATTATGCCAACTTGTTTATTTTGACCGGATGACTCGTTTCAGTGAATACAGTATAGTGTAATTATTAGTACAATTGTATGTGTCCCGTTATTGGTTATTCTGAGTAATATTACAATTGCTCCCCGAAAAATCAATTTGGAGTTAATGTAACATATTGTTATGAGATAAACCCATACGGCCGGCGTCCGGTACGACGCTTATGGGTTTTCTAGTATGTGCACCCAGAGACTTTAAATATTTAAAGTCTCTGTGTGCATCGATGATGGGTGACTCATTGTCAGTGACGGCAGCCGGACAGCGTTCGCTGAAGAAAAGCCTGGAAACGGTAGTCGCGATGGGTACTCCAGAACAAGCCTAAAAGCGGTGAGGCAGTGGAGAATTTGAGTCTCGTCAAAAACATTCCCATTTACCGGTTAGTGTATTCAAATAATAAGATGGGAGCATCAGCATGCATAAAAATGGATGTTTACGAAAAGTAGATTAAGTTGGATTAGTCGCGGAGAAAATGTGTCAAGAAATGTGTTCTAATTTTTTTTTTCTACAGAAATCAATTAAAATTAAAATAATAGAAGAAATCTGTTGACAAAAATCAATAAAAATAAAATGAGTACAACACAACACTATCCTAAATTAAAAATACCCTATTACAAAAACTTTCCTTATATAGCAAACGACTTAAAAGATACAAACAATCACATCTCAGAAAAATTCATAACACTAAATTTTTAAACAACGAAAAACTATTCTATCAACATTTAACTAATTCAAACAAAACTCAATTATCCGGTGAACTTCCAAGTTCACAGGATGTAACAACATTTTGGTCAAAACTTTGGTCTCAAGAATTTGAATTTAACCAATCTGCCAAATGGATTCCTCATATATCCCATAAACTATCCACAGTTACACCAATGAATGATCATCAGATAACACTTGCCGAATTAATAAATACCATCCATAAGACACACAACTGGAAATCACCAGGACCAGACAAAATTCATAATTTTTGGATAAAAAAATTAAATTGTGTACATATTCATTTACTACATCACTTAAATCAGTTCCTTCTAGACCCATCCTCCTTTCCAATATTCTTATGTCATGGTGTAACATACCTAAAACCTAAAGATAACGACACAAAAAATCCATCAAAATACAGACCTAACACATGTTTACCGACAATCTATAAAATATTAACCTCATGCATTACACAAAAAATCTATCAACATTGTTTTAACTCTGACATCATTAATGAAGAACAGAAAGGATGTATTAAAAGATCCTTTGGTTGCAAAGAGCAATTAATCATAGATTCCATCATCTGTGAACAAGCTAGAAAAGAAAACCGAAACATATGTACTGCTTTTATTGATTATAAGAAAACTTACGATTCTGTCCCTCATTCCTGGCTATGCAAAATTCTGGAATTATACAAAATTGATACTAAAATCTGCACTTTTCTCAAATGCTCCATGGAATTTTGGAAGACCACCCTTCAAATAACCTTAAATGAACAAACAATTCAGTCAGATCCAATAATGATCCGAAGAGGAATTTTTCAAGGGGATTCTCTTAGCCCGTTATGGTTCTGCTTAGCAATAAATCCTCTCTCCGATATCCTGAACAGCTGCTATTATGGGTTCAATATAAGAATTAACAAACAAAGAGAAAACAGAATGCAAGTACACAAAATCAGTTAACAAACCTATTAAATCTGACTGAACAGTTTTGGTATTGAGAAATGTAAGACCCAAGCAATCAGAAAAGGCGTCCAACATCAAGTACCACATATAACCCAGAATAACGAAATAATCGAAGCCCAAGAACGAAATGATACATACAAATATCTGGGTTTCTGTTAATCCTCCCACATCAATCATACCAAAACGAAAATAATTAATACTGAAGACACAGTTAAATGGAAAAAAATTAATGAAAGCAGTAAATACATTCTGCGTTTCACTTCTAACATATTCTTTTGGAGTCATTAAATGGTCCAAGACTGATCTTGAAAATTTAAACATCGCAATAAGGAAAATCTTCACACAGTATAGAAGGCATCATCCAAAATCGTCGATTGAAAGATTCTCATTACCAAGACAGAAGGGAGGATGGGGTTTCCAGAACCTAGAAAACTTATATCAGAGACAAATCTCAGATCTGAAGAAGTATTTCTTGAAACGAGCGGAAAGAAATAAAATGTTTCGCACCATCACAAGAGCAGATTTGAACCACACACCCTTAAATCTGTCGAACACCGAAGAAATCCACACCCCCCACACAATAGACAAAATAATAAGTGGGCTAAAACAAAAACAACTACATGGAAAATTCTACAAAGACTTAGAAGAAACTCATGTCAATAAGAAGATGTCATTGATTTGGTTAAAAAAATCAAGTTTGTATGCCGAAACAGAAGGATTTGTGTTTGCTATTCAAGACCAAGTAATCAATACCTACCAAGAATTACAGAAAATACATCATCAAAGATCCGAATATAAGAAACGACTGCTGTCGCCTCTGCAAAGCAAAACCTGAAACGATTCAGCACATAACCTCCTCGTGCAACATCCTGGCACAAACTAACTACAAAGCTAGACACGATAACGCAGCCAAAATCATTTACAAAGAATTAGCAACACTTATGAACTTAATCGAAGATACGACACCCTATTACACTTACATTCCATCTCAGTTCCTTGAAAATAACAAATACAAATTATACTGGGATCGCACAATACTTACAGACTTAAACATTACAGCTAACAGACCAGACATCATACTTATAAAAAAACACACGAACGAAGCCATTCTCATTGACATTGCTATTCCTAACACAAACAACATTATTCAAACATACCACACCAAGATTTCAAAATATTTACAATTATCGATAGAAATGAAATCCATGTTGAATCTTAAAAAAAATTCAATTCTGCCCTTAGTTATCTCTAATGTAGGTGTAGTCCCAAATAGCTTAGTTGAGAATTTAAAGACTTTTGCATTTGAATGATTCAATAATTGTCAAAATTCAAAAAGCTGTTTTGTTAGGAACATGTCATATTGTTCGTCAGTTTTTCGAACAGTCTGATCATGTCAGTCAGATTAGATTAACACCAGTAGGTCAGTGTAGTGAGTAGTGTAGGTCACTTTCCAAGTGATGCGCGGATAAATGATCGGTAGTTACGCTAGACTTTTGGGAATGGGGTTATACAGGCTGACTGCGAAATACATGCAAAAAAAAAAATGGGCAATAGCTCACAATATGATTATGTCACTGGCAAAAATTCACGGTCCTAAGTGGTAGCAGTGTCTAGAAAAAATTATTTTAAATTAAATGTAAATTGTTATACGCGCCGCTGGTAATATTTCGTGACCTACATAATTACTGCAATGAATGGGTAGGGGACTCGGAGTAAGAACCAAAAAAGTAACTTTATCAGGCACTTTTTTAATCGCAACGTGAAAAACACGAAAAGGGCCAGTCATTATCGAGCGGTCGTTGAAATCGGTGTATGGTCCAGTTTTCCAATGCAGAGTGTGTCGATATGGTGGTACAGCATCTCCGAGATCATGTTACCTTCAACCTCAAATTTACGATCGTGGTCGTGATGGGGCAGAAAGGAGAATTTGGATTTTCGCAGTTTGTAGTGCATCCTACATTAAAAGAACACGGCCACATCCATACCATGTTGACAAAGTGCACGGTTTGGAGTCCACTGATTGTCCACGTTGTGTAACTCACTTTTTGTCCAATGGAACTCCACATAGTCGTCAACAAGTACGATTTCAAGAGACGGTTTTCGAGAAAGGTGTATTGGTTGGATGAAACAATTCGTTTGTGGAAATCAACAGTGTCCAGAAATTATTGAAGAGCTTCAACAAGTGAAAGTGGCAGCCGCTACTCCGGTGTTTTTTTGCCTATATCAACAAACCTCTTGCGACGCTCTGACGCCTATATTGCTAGTCAAGAACAACATTTTCAACATTTCTTGTAAAAAGGTAGTAGCATTCTAAGTTGCTCTTATTTCTGTTCCAATAAACAATGTAAAATCGTTGTGACAAGGACCAAACATCCGTCAGAATCAAAATTACCAAAAAACTTTCACACTGACCTTTAACGATGAATGAGTAAATGAATGAACGAATGATAAGCAGCAAAAAGTCGGTTTTATTTTTAATTGAAACTGAAAGTGTTTGGGTCGTTTTTAGTCGAACGTTTTTCCAACTCTGTTTACAAGGTGGCTCAGTGCCTCCGTGTCGAGGGTGGTTCATGGGGGTTTTGCCCCATTCGATTTTTAATTTGTTTTTTCTATATTTCGGCTCTACTGGGGTGGGGGATGCCGTGGTTAAAATATTTGCACATATTTCGCAGTCACCCTGTATAGATTAGAGAATAATAGCAGACTAATTTGTATGCTGTAATTCTAGAATCTCGAAAGTTGTTTTGGTAATCTAATCAAAGCATATCATTACTTGGTCTTAGTAATGATAGAAGTTTTGCCTGAATGCCGGTCATTTCCGGGTCAGTGGTGGGTCTTAAAAATAATAGCAAAAATGTGTTAAGAAAACTTTATTTTATATTCTGCAAGCAAATACAAGATCAACATTTTATTAAAACTGTAATAAATAACGCACTCAGTCGGCGACATCTTAGTTTAAATTGTTTTGTTATTATCAACGCGCGGAACTGTATCTCATACGCTAGAACAAGCGCTGTCGCGGCGATAGTTTGATTACAAATATATTTTTCTTTTGGACTATTTCAACATAATATAACATTTCAAGATCACAAATCTGTGGTCCTGTGGTTGAAAAATTAAAAAGGGCATCGAGTATTATTATTTGAAGTAATATAGTAATATAGAAGTAGTTTTTTTACTAGGTGTAAACACTCCTAGCGACGCCCTGGCTACGACCTTGTGGACCAGATGGAAGCGTCCCCGCTATTCGCCGTAAAACACACCTTACTTCAACTGGGGGATTGCAGCGGTGAGATAAATTTCCACGTACTGGTTATTATAGACTTTGTAATCTAATGGAGGTATATTTAAAAGAAGGAAATGTCACTAATTTATATTTAATATGTAGATATATTTTATACAAACAGGGTAAACGTTGTCCAAAATTGATAGCACGCTACAGATTGCCAGTCATTCTAAAGTAATTGTACTTTAGAATGACTAAGCCAAAACAAACTACTAGCTTTAACTGTGCCATAAATATATGCAAATTATTGTTTACATCCTTTTTAAACATTAATACATACACAATTTTGTTCAATAATGCAAGCAGCTTGAGATAACACAAATGAATTTGCAGTGTGAACAAACCCCTGTCACATTGGTTATGTAAAACACGATTCATGAAAATTGCTTCAAGAAAATTAATTGGAGATTTTTTACACATTGTAATATAACAGTTAAGTAAGCATGTTATTAGGCTAGCAGTTACATAATTTCATAATGATTGTACGTTTAATATATACGCATCAGATAGTGTTATTGGTTAGATATTTTTAATTACATTACACAAATAGTCCTTGACCACCAAGTTCAGTATCCAACTTTCTTTTGGACAAACGAGTGACGATATTTTGGTAAAGTATTGATAAAAACAAACAAGATTCAGACCTATCTTAGATCAAAACAACGATTATATACCCACATAAACATCACTTTCACATCGAGCAGTACGCTTTGTTAATAAACGAGTTTTAGACAAGTGCTCTATTAGTTTAATAATGGTCATCGAGATAGAAGGTTACAACGTGTGCAGGGAAGACAGAACGAAAATTCGAGCACTTTTTGGTCTCAGTGATGATGAAGTGAAAGTGAAAGTGGAAGAACTGAAGAAATGGGTCCAGAGTAATCCGCACTTGCCTGAGGAAAGCCACGGTAGAGGAAAAAAAGCAAATGTAAGTTGTTTTACAGGTAAATGTTTATAAATTTCAGATGAGGCTTATTTGGATATTATGTTACTGAGAAGCAAGTTTAAGGACGACTACGTGAAGAAGAATATTGAGAATTATTTTAAGTATATGAGTAAATATCCCGAAGTTTTTAAGAAGCTCGGAAAATTTAAGCCGTCAGAAGAAGTGGGGTAAGATTTTTTCAGAAGTGTATACAGAGTACCTACTAATAAAATAACGCCCCGACGCAGTCTCCATACTAAATATACTGACCGGCAAAAAAACCGGCCACGTTGAAATTTCGTACTATTTCTGTTTCTTAAATGAAATTAAATTCTATATTTACTTGTCTCTTTTTCTTTAGCTAATTTGTGTATCCTGTGTCAACAATGAGTGGTTCTTTAATAAAATAACAATTACTAGTTAAATTAATAATTTTTAATATAGTTTTGCGAAATATTTCAGGATCTCCATAGTGTATATTTATTTTAGACGTTGTAAGTAATCGTATGAAAAATGATCTTAAAAATGCCAAAGCTTTTTGAAGAGATGTCAATGCATATAACGTCTCGCTGCTTTAGAGTCACCTTGTGTAATAATTTATTGTAATAAAACTGGTTTGTATAAAAACAAGTATTAAGTGTACCATGTTCTAAAGGTGGGTAAATGCATAGGTACCTGACAACTGGAATTATAAATGCCTTTACAAAGTTCACACCATAATAAAATCGAATTAATTTTGGCGTAATTGTTATAATACATAGTAATAATAACTTTAATCTTAGGAAGAATACATTTTTAGTGTAGCGATGGCATCCCCAACCTTGGCACCTAATTTTGAAAGAATTGGTATCCTGAAACTCCTCCAAAAAAATATGTCTAGTAGAAAATTCGACATTAATCAGATGATACTAGTGACGGTGACAACAGGAATTATCATGTACAACAACGATTACACACCAAGCATACGTTTTCTTCTGGATTTTGAAGGTTTTACCATGTTGGATCTGTTTAAAGTAAATCTGAGGGATTTGTTCAAATTGGTGTCCATTTGTGAAGTAACTATTATAGTAAGATGTGGTGCAACTCTATTTTACATTGTTCTTCACCTTTAGAATATACTCAGAATAAGAATTTCTGGGTTTGAACTGCTGAATGCACCAAGATTGATGACCGCATTATTGGGGATTGGAAGAGTCCTTCTCAAGCCTAAAATGTTTTCAAGGGTAAGTTTTATGTTCGAAAAATGTGAAGTTTTGTCGACAGTTTCAATGATTTCAAGGAAATGAAATGACGATTTTTTAACCTAATTTTTTCAAGAATTTTTATACTTGCAGCTTCTCAATGATGCAAAGCAAGTTACACTTTTTGTATTTTAAAGAAGATTAAATTTTAAAAGATCTCAATGTAGTCCCCTGAAATACAGTCCAACAAATTCCGCCTATTCGAAAAATTAAAAAAAATTATCTTGCGAACTTTTATTTGTGATAACCTCTACACATTCAAACAAATATAGATAAGTAATACCAGTAACAGTGTAAAAAGTTAAATAACATCATATAAATGTATTGTGTTTTGGTATCCTATATTTGTTTTGTTTGTCTATGACCTCCCACTTTTTTTTAAATGACACTATATATTTTTTTAGAGATTGTTGTAGAGCTTTTTCTTCTGAATACATTAATGTATCATATTTTAATCATCCATATTGACCACTAATTCCAACGTATTACATGTTGCGAAATCACACTTGCTTATATTTGGTCTAAAGTGTCTCGTCGTCAACCTATTATGGTAAAACAGATTAACAATTGCTCCAAAAACTTGAAAGCATTGATTAAGCAAGCTTGTATTAATGCGTTTTCCCACTTGAAAATGTTCCGACCAACATTATTTCAGCGGAGTATGTTAATTCCGATACGTGCCGTGTAATACTAATAATAAAGCACGGGGATATACCTTGCTTGAGATTTGATCAATAAAAAAATATACTATTATATTTTTTTATTGATTATCTATATAATAGCAGCCAGTAACGGTGAAAAAAAACTCCGTGTCGGAACACACACGGAAGCGGAACACTACGTTGTATGCCAAGAATAACCTTGTACGAACTCAGCATGTACCAGAATAAACGATTGCTGTACAATTTCGATTTTTTGCGAAAATTTGGATGCCACAGGGAAAATCTGAAAATAGATTAATAAACAACAAATCCCACCTACCTACACTCAAAAATTTTGAGGAAATGTGTTACATTGGTGGTGGGGATGACTATAAAATTTGGTTAGCATTCAATTAACTTGATTACTCTCAGGAAGTAAAAAGGGGTGGAACTAAATTAAACGATGAGTAAAGTTTGGAACTGATTCAATTTCTAAAATTTTGGGTGTATAAGAACTTAAGAATTCACGTAAATTACCTACTGACCAAAAATTAGGCCCAATACACACATTCATTAGATAAGATGTAGGATCAAAAATAATTGTTTAAATATCGACTTAGAAAAAAACTAGTAACATATTTTATGAGAACTGAATGGACTAGACTGACAGTTTTAAATTTAGGTAGATACACAGCTGTACTACATTAATAATAATCGCTATTCCTTTCATCCAATTATTATCTATAATCTAAAAAAAAAAAATTAGGTATGTATCTTTAAAAGAAAAATAAAGTGCCATGATGTAAGTACTAAGAGATTAAATAATACATTGTACACTATCATATATCAATAGAGTGAATTGTATTCAAAAATAGGTGCGATATCAATATTAAACAGGGGAACAAAAAGAAACCGAATGTGCTTAAGATCGCTCGGCCGAAGTGAAAATTGCTATGGATCATAGTTAATTTGAATACGAGTACGTTACGTGAAAGTATATATGTTATATCAATAATATAAATATTGTTACGGATGAGATTACTTAGAGGAATCAGGAACAAGGCAAACATTGTAAAATGGAATTATTTATTTTAGATGGTATGCTTATTAGATTTACAGTATGTATTATATATAGACAGCGGATTTCTGTCGGGCTACGTCACGATTATAGGTGGGGACGCGCTGCATCGCCGGGACTCAGTAGCGGGTGATAGGTAATCACTGAATTTAATTGTCACTTTATTCCATAAATACAATTAACGATTTATTAATCAAACGGCTAAGTAAATGAGAACTGGAATTAACAGCAGAGTGCAACGAAGCAGCGTTATTCTAATCTCAAATAAACGAAGTGCAGCCGGTAACTGCAATGAAATCCCATCCCGTACGAGCCGTACCGAGTTTGGCCTTGTCTAGCCCGACAGAAATCCGCTCTCTAATTATATACCAACAGGCTATTGCGACACAGTCGCCAATTTGTTAGAGAAATTTGAAAATATGAGAGCTAACCTGCGCATTAAAACTCATTTCTTACATGCATGAATTTCCTTACAATCATGGCGATTGCAGCGAAGAGCATAGAGAAAACCAAGACATAAACAAGGATGTTGAATGTATCCTACATTCAACATCCTTGTTTATGTTTATGTATACCGGCCTTGGTATCCAAGGCCGGTGAACCCGTAATATGATTACAGTTGGACTTTGCAAAGCGATTGTCCAAATTAGAAATATTGTAGAAAAAAAATTATTTCGTGTGTTTATTACATTTTTACTTCCCGAGCGTAAGCTAAGGAAGAATAGTAATCGAGTTCATCGGATGAATGGCCACTTTTATGTTTCATGACCCCTACAGTACGAAAAAAGTAGTCTTCCCTTATCGTCTGTGTCTGTCTATCTTCTGTCTGTCTGTATACATTTTATTAGACACGTAGTCTCCGAAACTGCTTGACCGATTGTTGTAAAATTTTGTACGTATATTAGAAATATGATGTAGATGGTTAAACGCTAACCAAAATTTGGCTAACATTCCCACCAACAATTTGATGACGTCATTTCAGTGAATTATATTTTAAAATGTTATACAAAAAGATACTCTTATACTTGTAGTGTACGAATCCGCGTTCAGTTTTTTTGCTAAAAGTTCAAATTTTCCCAAAAACATTTGCAAACTATAATAACCTTATATTACCAAGTCTCCGTAGCGCAGTGCGATCCCACGACCCATGTTCTATGCCGAACTTGGCAGTTTACTTTTTTTTCTTGCATTGGTAAGGCGCTGTGGTTACTTTTCTTTTGTGCTGTGACTAGTAGTCTCCACGTTGAGGATGTCGTCATAAATTTTTTATTGGTCAAATTAAGAACGCGTCACCCCATTGTCTCGAAAATGTGAGAATACGCACGTCTTTTTATAATAATCATAAAATAAGGATTATAATATTTAAAAAATTTTGTTCGATTGTGGTTCAATTAATAATCTTACTCCTCTGTTTTGGAAAGACAAACTCATTCAAATCAAACTAATTTCTACGTGACATTCTTTCGATGTATAAACATAAATATACACGTGAGCTTCAGATTGCTATTACCAAGTGCTGAAGGACATTGTATCGCCTTAATTGTGTGTTTTAAATATACGTTACACTGTCCGTATGGCGCAGAGACTGCGGGCGTGTTATTTATGCCGCCGATTTTTACTTTATAGAGCTTATCACAAAACGAAAATGGTAAAATCAAATTGTATCATCTTTTAAAGAGCTAGATTTGTCGAATTTAATGTATAAACATAAACAATCGAAGTTAAGCGTGCACACTAATAATACTACACTATTTTTCGTTGGTTATTTGCTTTGAACATATTTCATATTATCCGTCTGTATACTATACCTATAAGGGTTATCAGAAAACAAAAATTTTGTATAAGTTTTCAAAGAAGTGGAATTTGTTGGATTGTACTCCAAGGGCGAGGGAAATTCTGTCGAAGTAATTATATATATTTTTTTCGTATGCAGCGGGCTTGTCGTACCCAAATCTTTGAAAGTGGTTGCCGCAGGTTCATTATTTTCTAATTTTACGCAAACTTATTATTTTTTTATCGGGGTTTAGGGTGTTATACTTTTAGCGAATATTATTTTGAGTTTTATAATTTTTTTTTAGAAAAGTCTGAAAAGAAAGTGCCATCAGATTTTATACGATGATGGATTTCCGTATCTAGATTTTTGTTCCAAACACATTATTGAGGCATGACTTTATCCTTAAATCACCAGTGCGGAAAAATCTGTATAAATTGTTTCGTAGGACGAAGTTCTAAGTATATGAACGCATCTGTACCAATATTACCTTACGTCAGAAACGTTAGAGTGTTGAAATAGTTTATACGTGTAAAATTAATTTGGTAATTGCATGAACATTTGGATTATATTAGTTTCTTTTGTGCAACTCAATTATGACCTACTGAAATTAGACACAACATTTTTCTAATTCTCATCTGGGAAGTGTTTTGTGTCTTCCAATTTTTTCCCCGAATTTTTTAATGTGTTTCCTATTAAAACGAATTTTTTGTGCAATCGTGAAATAACTTTTTTGTGTTAATATTTGTGTGAAAATATAACTTGTTTTTTAACTTTATTCATTACAAAGTAAAAGGAAGGGATATAGTAGCCTGCATAGATATTGTAGCCGTCCATAGAGTCGAAATTTGCGAATAAAAATAAAATAAAACCGGCTCAAACGGAGCCGACGACGGCTTGCAAGTTCTGTCACTACGGCACGCGTCGTATCACACAGGGGCGTATTTAAGACCGATTGCACAAAATCTTAGGGTCACTGTAATCTTACTATTTTCTATCTACGACAAACGATTTGTCACACAGCTACGAAACCCACGATCTAGAGAAAGATGGAAGTGTGAAAATGTATTTCAACAAGTGTAATAACCGTTTGGTGCAACGCAATTGGTTCAAGCAAACTAAAATATGACAGGAAACATACAGTCCACGTGGACTAGTTTATACCCGCGTTTGCTGCTAAGATGACCAGGTTTTTCGCTCCACCTACCTCCGCAACGATGAATATACCATACCACAACTTGTTTACAGTGAACAGAGCTTCGTTTTTATTGACGAGATTGAGCTAAGAAATGAAACAGATTATATCATAACGGAAAAGATGACATTTAATATTAAATACGTCTCTGTGCAACGTGTGCCAGAGTGATGTCAGAATTTGCAAGCCACCGTCGGCTCCGTTTGAACCGGTTTTATTTTATTTTTATTCGCAAATTTCGACTCTATGGACGGCTACAATATCTATGCAGGCTACTATAATAATTACTTTTGCTTATTTAAAAAAAAAAATCAATTGCCCCTGCTTAAGTGCTTATCTTAAAAAATCAACAGCGACTGTGTGAAGGCAGATGGTGGACATTACATGAAAAATTTAATACAAATGAAGTCTGAAAAATTATTTGATTATTTAAATGGTTTTTCCCATTTCATTTTTGTGTCCAGAGTACTGTTACAGATATTAGTTGCGCACGTAACTATAAATGGAGATTTAGACAATTTTAAGTGCATCAAATTCCTACATCGTTTTTCATATTATGATAAAAAATCGTGTTATAATCTTAAAGCTGATGAAGTTCCAAGAACACTAATAGTCTGTTTAGGGAAGCTTTTGATTTATTTTCATAAATAAAATTAAATAATGGTACTTTTTTCAAGAACTTTGTCATCAGATAAATTATTTCGTAATAATCATTATTACTACTAAAGAATGAAATAATTATTGATAACTGAGAAAACTGCACCATTCTGTGTAGTTAAGAAATATTTATTTTTAGATAACTACACATTCTGACGCATCTACCCTTCTTAACAACATTCCCAAAGAATGCCTTCCCAGTGATTATGGAGGAGAATCGGAAAGCACAGACACCCTAGTTGGTAAGAAACAACATTCTCTAAAAACAAACAATAAAAAGTGCATTTTCAGAAATATGGGATCACATAGTAGAAGCCCAAAAACCATTTTTCGAAAAAGTGGCAAACTACTCCAGAAAAAGCTGACAAGTGTGTGTGTTTTATTTTTATCAAAACAAAGCCATTAAACATGTATGCATTTATTTTTACCTCAGTTAAATCCCACTACGTGACAAATTCAAATTATGAAACCTTCGCAAAATCACGTTTACCTCAGTTTAATAAATGTTTTCTCTTTCGACTCCAAACATTCAGTCACCATGCTCAGAACTAACTATTTCAAAGTAGACGAAGATGTAAAATTCAAAATTTACAAAGAATTTAATATAAATCCCGAGCACGTACAACGTGACGTTCAGATTATCAAAGATTGGGTAAAACAGCAGCCACATTTACCCGAAAAAATCGAAGGTGGGTTTTCAACAGTCCTCAAACCTTTTAACGCCTTATTTTTAGATGACTTCATTCAGATATCGTTGATTCGTAGCAAATTCAAAATTGAAACAACGAAAGAAAATATTGATAAGTACTATACTTTGAAGGGGAGGAAAGTGGACGAAATTTTAAAAATTCCTTCCGAAATACCGGATGGAAAGAAACAATTGTAAAAACGTAAATTTCTTTTAGATTTTCCTTTAACCTTTATTTTTAAGTTTTTTCATAACGCCTTTGCCACAACTCACTGATAATCTTGAAAGAATCATCATCTTCAAGGTGAAAAATGCAGCTCTTGCCAACGAAAATGATATTTTAAATTTTTTTAAATACTGTCTTTTTATGAACGAGTTTGCAATTCGTTGCGATTATAGCTTGAATGTTCGACTTGTTGAAGATCTGGAAGGACTTACGAAAGATGTTTTCCTGAAATGTGCGAAGACAATAGGACACATATTTAAACCGTACAACGTGGGTTTGGTTTTTCAGTTGCGCAATCTTTTTATGTGTAAACATTTTTAGGAAGCTTATTTTGCTCGAATCGCTGGTATTGAATTTCTTAACGCGCCTCCATTTTTTGAACTTGTTGTCAAGTCGATAAAGTCGCCACCTATGAATATGGTTCTAGGTGAAAAACTTGCAAACAGAGTAAGCCTATTTCAAGGTTATTATTGCCACTATTGCTACTACTAACGTAATTTTAGATTAATATTCACAGAGATTACGAATCTCTTCATAAACTTGTAAATAAGGCTTCCTTGCCACAAGAATATGGTGGAGATTTACAGAGTCCATTATCCGAGATGGATGGTTTGTTTTTTAATTTTTTTAAATTTCTTATAACGCTAAATTTTGTAGAAAGTTTCAAAGCAGAATTGAGAAAATACATAAACAGCCTTGATCAATTCTTGATTAATGAAGTAGCAGATGAAAGTAAAAGAATTGGTGAAGTGAAATATAACGATTCTTTTGGACCCGACGGTACTTTCAAGAATTTATGTGTTGATTAAAAAAAATGATTGACAGTTTTCGACCTAAATAAAAACGTTATCTAAATACAAATATGTCTAAATATAACTATATTTTAACCATTTGTTGATAATCATTTTTATCAATTGTCACTGTCAAAAATCCTTCTCAGATTAAATTGTGCTGCGATATCTATTTGAATTTTTTTAGAAGACAAGATAAGGGCTTATATGACGCATCTATGCGCTTTCAGTAGTTATTTTTGACTTAAATTTAAAATTATTAATTTTAAAAGCAATTTTTTTGCTACCAGTAAGTTCACTGCAGCATGAAAAGTGATCTGTAAGGTCCGTAAAACGTACGGTGTTCTTAGTGTAAGATAATATGTTGCTAAAAATGAAAACTAAGTTTCTACTAAATAAATTATTAATTCTTTCTAATTATTATAAAATAAAAATAAACCTAATTGTTAACTAATGTAGAACTGATTAATTATTTTGATAACTTTTTATTATCCCCCAAGTTACATTCGTTCAAAGCTGAAATTTTAAACTTAGTTTATATTATTTTGAATAAGGTACAAGGTCTATTAAAATGTAATTCACCTTGCCTAAGAAACTAATTAGTAATGGTAATGACATTATTTAAATATTTTTTTCCTTAATATGTATTTGTTGAAAAATGCAGTGTCATTTGCGAATGAATATCTCGTTGTTATTTTTCGCTGTACACGCGGGTTATCTTAATTAACCAACATCGATTTTTCGTGATTGCAAATAATATTTACTGTTGTTCGTCTATCAAAATATTTTATTCATCGCTTCCGAAAAGTTGTCCAGTTTTCACTTAATTGCAGGACAAAATATAAATTATCAAATGTTAAGAACAAACCTTTAAATAAATTAATATTTACAAGTGTCCGCGAATGTATTTCCTGAGAATGGATGGAAATTTTGAAATTCTGAAACGCCATTGCTTTTAGCTTGAAGAGGGAAGTTCAGTTTAGTACATTGCAAATACGAGGCATACATGACGTCGACGTTTTTGAACTTGCAGCGTATATTTTTGTAACCGTTTTTCTTGGTACAGTGATATAAAACACTTATTATGTGTTGTATTAACTTTAATTGTCAGTCATATAAATTTATCTAAATGAAGAAGTGTATCTATTTACTGCAAATCCAGAATATGATCCACGAGCGGTGGGGATGCATGTGCGTAGATGACGTAACAAGGGTGCAGTGGAAGGGTAGTTCCAGTAAAAATTTAAATTTACAGTGGAAATATTTTTCCCAATCAAATTTCGCCATCACTTTTCACCCCCTCAGAGGTTGAATATCGGAAAATGCTTAAATACGTTGTGATAACCCAGACTTCTCGCCTTTAAATTGACCTTGAAAAAGTTTGAAAGGCCCGCGAAAAATTTAAAAATTCAAAGTTTGGCTTTGGTTGTGATCGTTTAACAAATAGGAACCTACGTTGTGTGATTTTTTTTGTTTTTGAAAAATGGCCGGAAGACGTTCTTTCATACAAATGAGCATATATTGCATGTGAGTTGAGAGCGCAAGAAATAATAGACAAAATTAGGGAGGTCGAAATCCTTCCTTAGGAGGAAAAGAAACGAAAAGCGAAAGGGACTCAGCTTGGCCTTCTGGCGACTCCGCAGAATTAAGGCGTCATCGGTCTTCATTCCCAAAAAACCCCTAGGGTTTTATTCACCGAAATATTACATTTCAAACACCTTAAGATATATAAAAGAAAAACACTCGCGAATTGACAGACATACACATATGAAAAACGAACACATGGAAAATTCTATACATCTGTTTGGGATCAATGCAAATATTTGAATATCACAAATTTAATAAAACAAAGCAAAAACTGAATCAAGTAACTGGATGCAAATACACAAGTTACGAGCCCTAACAACTAAATGTTCGGACAAACTAACCGGAGCGTTCAAAAACCACTCTTTATGAATTAATTTTTAATTTTTATTATCAAATCACATAAAAATAGGAAGCTAAGATTTCAAAGAATAGTTTTTAATAAAAAAGTTGAATGATTTACTTTACATAGAATTTTAATTCAAATATGACTGTGGATTTTTCAGAAAAAGTGAATACACTTTGGCAACTAATTATTCGGACAAATAAATAAAAAAAATAATTTTCACTAAGTAGGCGGTGTGAATTGTTTGATTGTTAATAAATATCATTCTCCTCTTCCTGCCTTACCTAACTGTGTTGTAAGATCCATAGAAAAATATATATATTCTTTAACAAAATGGTTCGTGGACGTCCACTTAAAAAATCATTACGTGCACTTATTGTAAAGAAGTATTGCCAAGGTAAAAAAATTCGGGAAATTAGTGAAGAACTGAATTTAGCAAAGTCCACTGTAGCGGATATAATCTCACATTATCGCGAAACTGGTGGACTAGACGTTAAAGGAAAAAGTTCAGGAAGACCGAAATTAGTTTCAGAAAGAAGTCAAAGGCTCCTTGTAAAACTTTGTAAAAAAAATCGAAGAAATACATTGCGGGACATAACAGCACAATGGACGGATGCAATAGGGCATAAGCTGTCACGAGAATGTTGTAGGAAATTGATTCACAAGTCAGGATTAAGTTTTTATAAGGTAATTTTTAAGTTTTTGGTTTACATTTGTTCCACCGTGCCGTTACAGGCCAAAGAAAAACCTTTAATAACGGCAAATCAAAAGAAAAATAGGTACAACTGGGCAAAGTCTAAGCTGGCATGGACCATGGAAGATTGGTCAAAGGTCATTTTTAGTGACGAGTCAAAATTTGATGTGGGCGTGGGAGATTTGCGGAGAAGAGTGATAAGATCAAAAAGTGAAGCGTTCAATAAAGACTGTTTAAAACGAACTGTAAAGTTTCCTAAAGGAATAATGGGGTGGGGTGCATGTCAGCCAAAGGGTTGGGGAATTATGAATTGGTGGAAACGACTATTAACGCCATGAAATACCAACAAATTTTAGAAAACAGTTTGTTGCCCTCTGTTGAAAAACTGTATCCGGACAACGATTATATTTTTCAACAGGACGATGCACCATGTCATACCGCAAAAAGTACTAAGAAATGGTTTGGGGATCATGATATAAGAGTCCTTTCATGGCCTGCGAACAGCCCTGACTTAAATGTCATTGAGACACTTTGGCACGACATAAAATCCGTTTTGCGCAACAACCCCCAACGAACACTCTTAGGTTTAAAAGCAAAAATCGACGAAGTTTGGGCAAGTTTTACTCCTGAATACTGCAGAAGTCTTGTAAGTACTATGCCTGCAAGGATACGCGCAGTAATCAAAGCAAAAGGAGATGTTACACCATACTAAGTAAAAAAAAATACTCATGTCCGAATATTTAGTTGCCAAGTTTATTCGTTCATATCAGCTTCTTGTTGTGTTATAATTTTGTTAAGTTAATAATATTACAATTTTTGTTGAGAATATTGCATTAAAGATACCTACTTATATATTACTCTAGTTTTGTTTTTGTAAAATACATTTTTTTTCATTAAATTACATTTTTTTGTATAAAAGAATACGTGTCCGAACATTTAGTTGTTAGGGCTCGTATTACAGGCGTGTGGCGGCAGATCTTTTTTTAAGTTACGGCAGTTAACAGAAGCACAACAAGAGTACCCCTGGCGTTGTAGCATAAGCGGAATTTGGGGCTACCGGTCTGGAGCTGTTCTCCCCCCACGACGGTAATTCTATCTATTGTAAAGCCTACCCGCACGCACCCCCATTACGATCATGCTGTGCGAAAATAGGCCATTACGGTCGCCAGACCCGCAAGGGATCTCGGCTATGGGCAGAAGCCGAGAAATTTACAACATCGGCGGCCGCCCCTGAATCTATCCAAACCTGTGGACTTGTACAGGTGACACGATAAATCTCGCCAGCTCGACTAGGAACCGAACCTCGCTTCTGCCACGTTTTCTGTGTCATTTAACCTCAATTCCATTTTAAAATATTCAATCCCTTATAACTCTGATATTAACATCAACTGAACAAGTGTTAAAGTTTCAAAGAGCAATAAACAACATTTGGATTCGCCATAAAATCTTGTGAAATTTTAAACAATAAATAATTCTTATCTGAGATTAAAGTTGGACATCAAATAATTTATATGATAGAAACATTCATCAGCAAAGTATTTACAAAATAGAATTCAGCAAAGATTTATCAAACAGAAGATCTGGTGTGTAATAAACTTGTACAAATAGAAATATTATGTGAGGTTAAAAACTGACGAACATGAAATTTACGTTCAATTAAAATTATACAAAAAATAAAATTACAGAGGTTAAAATTGTGAGATTAAGAAATATAGTATGAGGTGGTAAAATTACAAGTTAACAAAATTTACAGGAGATTGATATTTCCCACACTTTATCAACGGTTTAAACAAAGAGTTTACATTATGTTAAATTGTGTCATGATCTAAGTGATTGGTTACTTCAAAAAACAATTTACTTTGAAAGTTTAAAATACTGCAAACTGGTTACCCCAACAAAACACATAATAAACAAACACAAAAATATCCAATCATCGCTCCGAGGGAAAAAGCGTCTCGGTGATGTAAATTTTAAAATCGTTGCGAGGAAAAAGCGTCTCGATGATGTAAATTTTAAATTGTTGGGAGGGCATGCCTTGATAAATTAATCAATCTGTAGCGTTGTGAGGGCACGACTTGATAAATTAATCAATCTGTACCGTTGTGATGGCATGCCTCGATGAATTAATCAATCTGTAGCGTTGGGATGGCATGCCTCGATGAATTATTCAATCTGTAGCGTTGTGATGGCATGCCCCGATGAATTAATCATGATAACGATGATAACCGCCTAAGGGAAGAGAACATTTTAAACCCCTTCCGTCAGTTCGCAGTATAATGAACTTGTTTAACTGCCGTAAATGCAGCTTCTCTACCAACCAACCATCCCTCTAACTAAAAATTCCCTAGCGCTAAATTGTCACGCTACCCTGCAAGCGTCACCGTGCATCTGGTTTCCTATGTTTAACGATTCCTTTTTGTGATTGATTTTTTTTTCTTTTTCAAATTTAAATTATTCAAATGTGATTTCGCACCGCTGTTAATTAATCTCAGCGCGAAAATTTTGATTTAAAATTCGGTCACCACAACGTGTTTCCTTATTTGTATTGAAGAGCATTAATACCCAGTTTCATGTAAAAATTTTAATTCACAATAGAAATATTTTCCCATACAAACTTAACCTCCACATTTCACTCCCTTTGGGGTTGAATCTTGGAAACTGCTTAAATACGAATTTCATTCTTTGTATTGAGGAGCATTAATTTAATATCAAGTTTCACGTAAAAATTTAAATTTACAATAGAAATACTTTTCCCATACAAACTTAACCAGTACTTTTCACCCCCTTAGGGGTTGAATCTCGGAAAATGCTTAAATACGTGTTTCATTAGGCATTAATACTAAATTCCACCTCAAAAATTTACAATAGAAATAATTTTCCCATATAAAGGTTGCCACCACTTTTCACCCCCTTGGGAGTTGAATCCCGGAAAATGCTCATATATGTGTTTCATTATTATTTGTGTTGAAGAACATTAATACCAAGTTTCACGTAAAAATGTAAAAAAAACAATAGAAATATTTTTCCATAAAAACTTAAATTCTACATTTCACCCCCTTAGGGGTTGAATTTTAGAAAATGCTTAAATACGGGTTTAATTCTTTGTGTTGAAGAACATTAATACCAAGTTTCACGTAAAAATTTTAATTCATAGTAGAAATATTGTTCCTAATCAAACCTAGCCGCCCAAAGTTAGACATCACTTTTCACCCCCTTATGAGTCGTATCTCCGAAAATCCTTAAATACGTGTTTCGTTATTTGTGTTGAACAGCATTAATACTAGGTTTTAAAAAATAAACATTACCGAAAAATTTTTTTGCCATACACACCCTTTTTCGCCCCCTTAGGGGTTGAATATCGGAAAATACTTAAATATGTGTTTCATTATTTGTATTGAAGAGAATTAATACCAGGTTTCACGTAACAATGTAAATTTACAGTAGACATATTGATCCTATACACATTTTATCACCCCTTTTCACCCCCTTGGGGGATAAATTTCGAGAAATCCTTTCTTAAACGATGCCTCCAGTATAAAATGAACATTCTCTAGAAATTTCAACTTTCTAGCATTAGCGGTTTGGGCTAGGTGCTGATAGGTCAGTCGGAACATAGCCTTTTATACTGTAACTTCACTTGAGATACACCTGTTAAAACTTTTATGACTTAAGCGGCTTAAGCCAAACCAACCTTATAAGTCAAACTGGCTATTGTATTACTTAACTCAGTTCACAGCTGCATTATGCCAACAGTGGACAGTAATAATCTTGCGGTTCGGGTCCACAACGCTTACAATAGCCAGTTTGACTTATAAGGGTGGTTTAACTTAAGCCGCTTAAGTCATAAAAGTTTTAACAGGTTTTTCTCAAATGAAGTTACAGTATACAGTGCACATTTTTTAAAAGTGGCCATAGGGATTCCCATGTTAAATTTTAGACCCCATGTTAACTTTTGTTAGGGTGAAAATAATTAATTTCAGTTTTATTAAATCTTAAAATTAAATACTTCTTGTTATGGAGATAGGATTTTATCAAATTTTATAAGAGATCCACTATCGACATTGCTGTTTGTGTGCTATTAGAGGAAACCATAAGAAACGATAAAATTAACAAACAAGGTATACTACATACAAGAAGCCTTCAATGTTTGGCATATTAAATAACGAAACCCAGCGAGACATTTCAAAACATTAATCATTTTGTAAAAATGTCAATTTTCATGTTAAAATTAGAATAATGTAATTTTTTTATAGGATTGCAGCTCTGAAAAAACTACGAGTAAATTCTCTTGTGGACTTTAAACCTTAGTGGAATATCGATCCGCAAACTTTTGTTTTTTTGCGGTCATAGAATATGCTACGTAGTTATTAAACAAAAAATTTAATAGAGGTTTGGGGATTAATAAGACTGCTTTATGAGTAATAAAAGTTAATCAATTCATTAATAGATCATTTGATGTGATCCAACAAATCAAATTTTCAAGATCAAACCATAATGGAGTATGAAATATTTAATAAGGCAATAATTTTTAAATTACTTTATTCTATTTTAGAATCGTAATCTTGTTTATAAGCACCCAAATGCGAGCGTAAGTTGGCCTTTATCGTACAAATCTATCAAAAATTGCCAAGCAACAATTGATTGTTCATTTACATTAATTAATTAATTATTCAAACAAGATTCGATATTCAACATTTTTTTTAAGTTGGAAAAATAATATTCTATTAAATCATTACCTGATCGACTTCAAATTCTTCTAAACTTTCTTTTGAATAAACTTTTTCCGTTTCTTTAATTTGCATTTTGAAAAACGAATTATCAAATAATCAACGTGGTATCATAACAACATCTAAATAATAGCCAGCTATGTATTAAAGTTCGCATCGACACAATTCACACAGTCTTGCCGAAAATACTCAATATTTCGTTAAAACTAGTTTAGAAACTAAAATAGAATAAAACGTTGTATGTACCACGTGCATAATTGTCGATTGTGGCTCTCAGGAAATTAAAAGCCCTCCTTCGTCGGGCTTTAAACATTCCCTCGTGCCACAGTCTCCCTGATTATGCCCTTAATACATAAACAACTATTACGTGATCTAGAGTTAAAACTGATATCAGCAGAAGCGATTATTTTAGATTTAAAGTTTTAAGGTGAAAATATACAGACTTCTTTCAGTTAAGATACATCTCTTCCTCTTTTCTGTTAAGGTCATTGCCCACGATAAGATAATTTTTTAGCATGTGGTCTCTTAATTTACACATGATACATATGTACTTTATTTTGAAAATACCAGTATGCATTATCACATCAAAGAGAAACTTGATTATTTTTCATGTCAAAACACAAATAAATCAAAGAATTTGACCTTTGCGCTAGAACTGTTAGCCGTGTTTTAATTATCATTACCTATTTAAACTGCATTGCTGTGCAAGTGTGCTCAACAGATGACAACCGAAACGAACGCCCCAGTTATATTAATCACAACACACAAGACGAACCTTTCAATTGAATAATTTTTCCTATAGAATAGCATTATCTCTGCATTCGTGCAGTTCCGTTTATTGTCTCATGGTCACTGATCAAACCAGTGCAGATGTACTAAGCCTTCGCCTTATTTCATAGAAGAAAATTAAAAGCAAGGTACGTTAAAATTAACAAATTTTAGTCCAATATTCCTCGTTTCCTCTTTCCCATTGTCAGCCCCGAATAATTCAATTAGGATCCACATACCTTAATAACGAGCTACGGTACCCTTTGAAAGTCTCGACTTTTAGTATCTCTGTTTAGTGTCAACAGATAACTCGAGTGACCCCAAGATGGTAAATAACCAGAAACATTCAATTTAGAAGTTTATTGTGTCTGCGTGTCTTTGTTTTACAATGGATGCCATCCAAGTAACGAACGACGAAATTGTCAAAGTGCGAAAACACTTCAAAGTGAAAGAGGATGACATAAAACGCGACGTGAAGATAATAATCGAGTGGTTAAAACAACAACAACATTTACCTAAAATTGACGGTACGTATTTTCCCCCAAAATTTCCTTTGCATCTTTCGTATTTTAGACGAAAACTTCATCGAGCGTTGCTTATTAAGAAATAAATTTCGTGTCGAACAAACCAAACAAAAATTAGATGGATACTGTACTCTGCGGGGTGTTCACCTCAACATGTTTGAGGACTGGAAGTCCATTATACCGTCACGAGAACTGACGTAAAAAAAATAGTTTTAGGTATTGAGGTGGTAAAAGTTTGTTTTAGGATAACTCTGCCGTTACCGAAGTTGACGCCGACTTTGGAACGTGTGATAATTTGGAAACTCAGGTCTTCAGATCCTAATGATTATGATATTGTCAGTATTGTGAAGTATAATCTACTTCTGTTTGAAATTTTGATTAGGAATGACTATGCTGTGGGAGACAGGTTCGTGGCGGATTTTACTGGACATACTGCTGCGACTATAGCGAGGAATAATCCACTCATTATATCCAAGTTTCTCTCTTTGTATCAAGTAAGCGATATCACTACATGAGAGTATATAATTATTAGTATAAATAGTTATTCGTAATGCGATAAATTTAAAGGCACGGTTTTGTAAACATTAATAAACAACTGCATTTGACCTCACTTGCGCGAGCAGTTGAACCTTCTATACTTATATTCTTTTTAGTCTGCGGTTGACATATTTTGGAGTTTCTTGAAGTATGAATTTGGTTAAAAAATGAAATCAAAGGTAATGTGGAGCTATGTGATGAAAAATCTAACATTTTTTATTTCCTTTATTTCCTTTGTTTGTATGTTCAAGCAAAAATGGATCAAAGTGAATCAGTTATAACAAGTTCTTATATTCAAAAGATTTTTTTTGTTTTATACGCAGCGTACCAATTATTGTTATTAAAATTATTTTCCTCTGAATTTATTTAGTAGGTATGTATATATCAACAAAGTTGTTAAGAAGCGGTATACGTTTTTCCTTAGTAAGAACTTGTGTTGTGCAAAATGTGTGATATAATAGCAACTAAAATTTCTGTTGTAAGATATTTTAAATCGTAGCGAAGTTTAGTAAATCACATCAGTTTATTACTGCAAATTCACATACGAAATTAATTTTATAGAATTACAGCCTAACTAAGACATGCTTGTACGGTACAATTAATTAGATGATGTAATTAATTTTTTCTTTATAATAGTTTCACAGTCATAAATAAATAATATAAAGTGTTAGGGGCACCAGCCTAGAAGATATTGTATAGACAAAGCACGCCGAAAATTATATTTTTTCAGTAACTTGCGCTTACTATTCCTTAGAAATGCTTCAGCTGCTTTAATTTAGGCTTCCTTGTAAACCTGTTTACTTTATGAGATGATACTCAGCCGATTTGTTGTGTTCACATTAGCTTTCTTAGATATTTAAAAGTACATGCCAGCAAACTGCTTCACTACTGATCAATATCACGCGAGAACAGGGCGACCTATCTAACTGGACGATTGTCTGAGATATATTTTACGCAGCGCTCTGTTTATAATAGACACATTTTTCTCTGCATTAATTAGATCGTCGTTTTAACAAAATTACTCTCTGTAATTTATTTGCCTGAATTAGAAGTTGACATTTTGTTATGTACAAGTGACACATTTCGTGGATATAATTTACACTAGTCTCTGAAGGTATTTAATTGCCTTTTTCTGTTTAACTAGGCATTATTGTCGACTAGATTCCAAAACAGGTAAATTTTACGGAAAATTATAATAATAGTTAAAAGAAAATTAGTCTGAGAGAATGTCGTGGAATTTGAGTTTACAAATTTTATGTTTTTGTGATAAGTCCTACTATACACACGTTAAAGTAAAAGTAGTGGTCGAGTTTTAAACTAAATGTAAAGTTATATTCATTTAACATCATGATAAATTTTAGCACGAAGAAATATATATTTTAGTTTTGGTAAATACAATACATGCAAAATCAATTCCTTAATTTATTTGAAAGATTTTGTACAAACAGCCAAATAAATAAAAATAAGAGTCATTATATTCTGTACACTTCAAATGAGATTTATATTTTTAAATTTTAATAGAATATCTTCCTGGGATTTTGGTTAGCAATTCGCCATGTTCACAATAATCGTATAGCACGTGCAAAATTTCAGAGGGATCAGCTTTTTAATTTCTAAGACAAATTGTAAAACTTGTACGTTTATTTTCTCAAAAATCTATATGCGTAAGTTAAAAGTCATTGCCGTTTAGTAAACTGCAGCCACAGAAGTATTATATTTTGTATATTTTAAATAAAATTGAGTTGTCAAAATTTTCAAGATGACAGCACACAAGAGACAAATTTTGATTAGAGCTTTAAAATCGACTCGGGAACACTAAAGTACCTTAAAATCTTCACTTAACTTAACTTAACTTAATAAATCGCTAGCAGAAAGACACAAGAAAGTGACATGTCGACGACAGAGAGACAGATAAACAGAAACCGGAAACCTACTTTTTCATATTTTGTTAGCTATGAAACACTGCGCAAACACGAAATTAGCTCACCGTAAAGTGGATACTATTACCATTTTTCTTACTTACTTTTAACCTTATATTTCCTTAAATTAAATTGAGTTTTGTTTTTGCAATGAAAAACATTAAATTAATCTGTTTAACGCCACTCGCTACGCTTAATGTATTGAATTTTCAGTTCATTTCAGAATGTAATATCTCCATTATTAACAGACTTACGGATCTAAAATTTTAAATATAAACTGTCCATAACTTTCTTTATATAACGCAAGGGCAGTTTTGTTAAAGTTAGTTAGTGTTCATACTTTTTGTTTCAATTTTGGTGAAATTTTTGCATAACGTATTTTTAAAAATCAATATCTCAGTGTAGTATTTAAGGAAATTTCAGAACAGGGTTTTCAGCTTTCAAAACTCCAGTTCCAACAAATAAAGTCGAAAATAGATCTCGCACGATGTTTAAAATTTTAATTTTACAAGCTAAAAAGAGTGGTGAAAACCGCGTTCCTAAATTTCGATAAATAACTGAAATATTGATTTTATATGAATATGATAATTTAATAAACTGTTTAAAAAAAAACTGCTCACACAATTATATGATGAAAGTTATGGATAAGTTAGATTTAAAATTTCATAACAATAAATTTGTTAATAGTAGAGATATTACATTCGGAAAATATATTGACATCATAAGAGCCAAACGTAGAGACTCCTTTTAAGAAAACGGCCCACTTAAATTAAGATTTGTAACAACACTAACTTATGATTTTGTTGTGCTTATTTAACCCCATTCTAGTTTTATTAACTGTTTTTACTTCCCGAGCGTAAACTAAGAAGTATTGTAATCGAGTCCATCGGGCCACTGGTTGCTTTCAAATTGTCGCGATGGGTCATGCCACCCGGAGTATGACAAAATGTTTCATTTCCGACTGCCTGCCTGTCGATCTGTCTGTCCGCCGTCTGTGTCGATTTTTGTTAGACAGATAATCTCCGAAACTACCTAATCGAGTGTTGTCAAATTTTATACGTGTGTTATGAATATCATGAAAATGTAAATCGCCAACCAAAGTTTGTCTAATCATCCCTAGCAACAATGTAAACGGGTTTTAAATTGTACAAAATAACATAGTCCTGCACATGTAGTTTATGAATCCGTGTTGAATTTTTAGCTGAAACGTAATGATTTTTGGAATAAATCAAAATTATCTGCAAAATCGATAACTTTGAAATCTTGCAGATGTCTTAAAGTTATCTTAAGCAATTTTTAAACTTTTGATCAAAATATATTTACTTATCGCCCCAAAAAAATCTATGACGTCACCTCAAAATTTTGAGAAATGAACCCTATCTAAGATCTGAGATTTTACTTGTGATTTATCGTGCAGATATTTTAGATTTGCTTCTACAGGTGCTTCAAAAAGAAAATGAATGTGTCAATTTATTTTATTGATTAAATTAGAAACGGCTCACTTTATTTTTCTGGAAAATTTGGGAATGTAATACTGTTATTATTAGTATTACACTGCACCAATGCAACTTTCGAAATGTATCTAGGTTAAAATCGTATTTTTGGTACACATAGGGGCTTTTCAGAAATTGTATCCTTCAGTGTTTTATCCTAGACGTATTCAATAGGTTATTCTTCTTTTTTTACACCTCATAATAAGGTTTTTAAATTTAAACCTGTATTTGTACATCATACCGTGCCGTTGACATTTTTCTGATTCCAAAGTGTATTCTTTATAAAATCGTAGTAGGCTTGGTGACAAAATTTTCAAGGATCTTAAAGGTTTCTTTATTGCCATGAAGCCACAACTGGTATGAATAATATAATAACACTTTCGATATTTTAGTACTCCTAGAACAAAGGATGTCCATTCGTTAAATCCATTGGAATAACTGTGACAGTAAATAAGTTTCGTAAAGAAATACAAATGTACCTGCGGAATTCAATAATTATTATTAATGTGACGAGTGCGTTAAGGGATACGAGTTCAAAAAAGTTTTCAACGCAAATATTGCGTACAAAATTGTGGCCGAAGAAAATTTATATTTAATGACACACAAATGAAGTGCAAACAAAATGTTGGCTGTTTATGTATACATTCAATGTAACGAGGCATCTGTATCCACGGAAAGAAAAAGTAAACAAAATAAAAGTTAAAATATTGAGACATCCTTCTAACAATTTAAAATAAGTGTCGTATTTAATCTGAGAAAATACATCATAATATTACCCGCTAAACCTTACATTACGACTTAATAAAAAATACACATATGGGACAAAGAAAACTTTTTAAATTGAAAACTTTTCCGATTTTACCCAATAAATGATCCTAAATGCTTTTAATTTATCATCGATAACTGATCTACGCCAGGTTTTGGTTATCGGAATTCGATCCTGATTAAAGTAAAAATAAATTTGTCTTAATATTACGATGTTGTTACAAACAATGCTTTGGCGGATAAATCTTTGGCATTATTCGGGCTCTAAATCAAAATATGAAATTTAGAACTAATTAAAATAAGTAAGACAATTAATGTAATTTTAATGAATTTTTAATTACCGACTTACACGTTAACACAATCGGTGGTTAGAAATTTAAAGAGATTACCATTGCAAATGATTTGAAAGCTTCCGCTACATGCATCTATTTTGATTCGCTGCCTTAGCGGCGGTCTTCCTACGTGAAGTTGTGGTTATAAGTATTTGTTGATGGTATATTTCGCGATAAAATCAAAATATTATTGTAGTTTTCAAGGCTGCAACTGTCTTGAATTTTTTCGCAGTTTACTCTGGTATAATATGTGGATTCTCTACACGGGTTTGCTAAAAAGTGTAGATATAGCTAAATATTTCCAGAACGGTTTATCAGAACTCATTGAAATTGATACACAAGTAAAACTATTTGAACTCTATCCCCTAAAATATTATTCAAATTTCCATCAACATTTGTTTTGGAGATACCAGGCCAACTTGATTTTTTGAAATCGTATGAAGAGTCAAATTTAATATTTTTGAAAAAAAGCATCTTTTTGTATTCAGCAACGTAATACACGTCTTCCTTTATTTCCACTAAAAGGTTTGTCTGTCTGTCTGTCTGTCTGTCTGTCGGTCCGCCGTCCATGACGATTTTTGTTAGACAGATATCTCCGAAACTACTGAGCGATTGTTGTCAAATTTTACATGTGCATTATGAATATCGTGTAGATGGTAAAACGCTAACCAAATTTTGTCCAATCATCCCCACCAATCATGTGATGACGTCACCTCAAAATTGTACATAATGGGTCACGTGTAGTCATAAACGTGTAGTTTATGAATTCGTGTTCAGTTTTTATCTGGAACGTCCTGATTAAAAAAAAACAAAAGGATGACGGTGCCCCAAAATTTTGACGCACCTATACATTCTTTATTCATCAATTTTCATCTGTGGTCCTAACATTTTCAACTCAATAAACAGGTGTTTGAGAATCCTTTTTAAATATGGAAAATTGCGGTCATCCTTCAAACGATTTCCGGAACTTTAGAGATTTTTTACTTTTTTCAGCTAAATACCTCCCTTAACATAAATATAATAAAAGTCTTATTAGAAGAAATGGAAGATTACCTAACCTAAGTAGGCTATTCTATTATTTTAGTTTGTTTGATATCGTGCAGAGGGGCACTAATTTGTTTATTTCTCAGAAGAGAGTATAACAGCCTGAAGTCGCCCCGGCAGGAAATTGATGTTAGGTTTATTTTTTTTAAGCATCACTGTTAAATAATGTGATAAAAATATTACTAATTTATTATTTTTTAGTAGTGGATAATTATTATTGAATGCCTATGAATTTTTATGAGTAATCTTTTTCAGGGCGCCTATTCTGGCCGTTTCGTCGGCTGCGATTTTATTAACGCTCCGCCTTTTATCAACCTCTTACTTTCAATACTAAAAAAATTGCTTCCTTCTAAGCTGTACGGAAGGGTAGGTTGATTTGATCTTTCATCTAACCGATTGACATGGTTAAATACATTTCCAGATTCGCATTCACAAAGATCTGAAGTCGTTCCATAAAGTGATTCCGAAAGAGTGTCTGCCGCACGATTACGGCGGCGATCTTGATACTGTGGAAAATTTAATCGGTAAGAAAAATTTAACGGTCGGGAATCATAATAAATGTGCATTTTCCAGCGAAATGGGATAAAGTATTTGAACATAATCAGCCCGTGTTTGAAGAGAATCTGAAGATTGTTTCGAACGAGAATCTGAGATTGGGAACTAATAAACCGAGTGATATGTTCGGAGTGGCGGGGACGTTCAAGCAGCTGAACCTCGATTGAAAAATAAGGGTAGTAGGAGAATTATAGTTTAGAAAAATATATACAATGTTAACTTGCAATTTGGAAAAATATGTGTTTGTTGTTAGGGTTCTTGAATTAAAATTTTATTTTTAATAAATATGTCTAAGTAATTTTGTGGGATTTTTGTCTTTGTATATGCCCTTTTAGTGGTTGACAAATTAGCAGAACTTTGACAGACTGTCAGTTAATTCAAATGCAGAGTGTAAATGACAAAATATGCATTAACTACTGGTACTTAAGTTACTGAAGAATGACTGCAACAGTTACCCCTTTTCGGAGAAAAGAAAAAAAAAGTTACAGGTTGGAGCAAGAAGTAAGTCGGAAAAGGTGCGTTTCTCTTAAAATTAGTTAGAAGTACCTAATATTTTTTTAATGTAAGATAACTTGCAGCAAACTTACTAGTGTATTGGGTGTATAGGGTGATAAGATAAGCTATATTTACAAAGTCGAGGGAACGGAGTTTGTTGGACCGCAACATATCCGAAACATTTAGTAGCATATACAGTTGTTGCACCGTCACGGCTTAGACTTTCCTTAACCAAGTAATACATAGTTGGGAAATGTATAAAAGTTTAATTTCTATTGTGGTGACCGAATTTGAATCAAAGTTTTCGCGCTGAAATTAATTAACAGCGGCGCGAAATCACATTCGAATAATTTGAATTTGAAAGAGACAAAAAAAGAAATCGTTAAACATAGGCAACCTGGTGCACGAAAACGCTTGCTTGGTAGTCGGACAATTAATAGCGCTAAGGGGTTAGTTTTGCATGAGTATTGAGTTATGCATGGCGTAGAGTCAGTCTGAATGTGCTTGTGTGAGTGTAACCACGTGGTAAGATCTAGTTTAAATTAGTTGGTTTGGTAGTTAATAAAATGGGAGGAAGCCTTTGTTTAACGATAATCCATCGTAACTTTCATAATGATACAGTTGTCCCCAACCCGCGCGGTTAATTCTTGCGGCCTTTTAATCAAGAATTGCGGACTTCCGTTCAACGAGAAACACGTGCTGTAAATTTGTTTCATTGTTTGTAAATTTACCCATCAAGTTAGTTTTTCTTAATCGTCAGCTAGTGCAAACACAGTTTAATAATCAGGATTATTTAAATAAATCACTTGCTAGAAGATTTCATGAAATTCACTTAGTCAGGAAAACACCTTTGTTGTTTCAGTACGAATAGGTTTCTGGATGCATATACGTAAGTGTTACATTATAACACTTCTTAATCCTTCACACAAGATTGCTAATAGTTCATTTACGGCAGTTAAACAAAGTTTATTATACTGTGAACTGGCGGGAGTAAAATAAATCTTCCCTTAGATGGTTATCATCGTTATCATCGTTATCATGATCACATCACTGGAGCATGCCCTCGCAACAATGCATCGAGGCCGGCCCCCACAACGCTACAGATTGATTAATTCTTCGAGGCATGCCTTCACAACGCTACAGATTGATTACTTCATCGAGGTTCGTCCTCGCAATGCTAGAGATTAATTACATCACCGAGACGCTTTTGCCTCGCAACGATTTCAAAATTTACATCACCCAGACGCTTTTTCCCTAGGAGCGATGATTGGATATTTTTGTTATTATGTGTTTTGTTGGGGTAACCAGTTCGTGGTATTTTAAACTCTCAAAGCAAATTGTTTTTTTGAAGTAACCAATCACTTAGATCATGATATAATTTGACATAATGTAAACTCTTTTTTAAATCGTTGATAAAGTGTGGCAAATATCAGTCTCCTGTAAATTTTGTTAACTTTGCAATTCTTTACCTCATACAATATTTCTCTAATCTCACAGTTTTAACTTCAGTAATTTTCTTTGTTGTATAATTTTAATTGAACGTAAATTTCATGCTCTACAGTTTCGACCTCACATAATATTTTTATTTGCACAAGTTCATTTTACACCAGATCTTTTGTTTCATAAATCTTTGCTAAGTTTTGTTTTGTAAATATTTTGTTGATGAATGTTTCTATCATATAAATTGTTTGATGTCCAATTTTTATCTCACATAAGATTTATTTGTTGTTTAAAATTTCACAAGATTGTATGGCAAATTTAAATGTTGTTTATTGCTCTTTGAAACTTTAACATTTGTTCAGTTGTTGTTAATACCAGAGTTATAAGAGATTGAACATTTAAATTGGACATAAAATGGAATTGAGGTCAAATAACACAGAAAATGTGGCAGAAGCGGAGTGCTGTTCCTTGTCGGGCTTGCGAGATTAACGTGTCACCTGTACGAGTCCACAGGTTTGGATAGATTCAGGGGTGGCCGCCGATGTTTTAGTGTTTTCGACTTGGACCAATAGTCGAGATCTAACTGAGGGTCTGGTGACCTTAATGGCCTAGGTTCGCACAGCATGATCGTAATGGGGGTGCGTGCGGGTAGGCTTTGCAATAGATAGAATCACCGTCGTGGGGGGGGGGGGGGGGAGAACAGCTCCAGACCGGTAGCCCAAAAATCCACTTGTGCTAGCACGCCCCAGGGGTACTTTTGTTGTGCTCTTGTTAACTGCCGTAACCTTAAAATCTGCTGCCACACGAACGTAATAACTTGTATATTTGCATCCAGTTACTTAATTCAGATTTTGCTTTGTTTTTATTAAATTTGTGATATTCAATGTATGTCTGTCAATTCGCGAGTGTTTTTCTTTCATATATCTTAAGGTGTTTGAAATGTAATATATCTGTGAATAGAGCCCTAGGGGGTTTTTGGGGATGACGACCGATGACGACTTGGCCCTGCGGGACCGCCAGTAGGGCACGCTGAGTCACTTTCGCTCTTCATTTCTTTTCCTCCTAAGGAAGGGTGCCATTTCGGCCCCTCCCAAACTTTTGTTTATTATTTCTTGCGCTCTCGACTCACACGCACTGTATGCACTTGTATGAAAGAACGTCATCCCGCCACTTTTCAAAAAAAAAACACAACGTAGGTTCCCATTTGTTAGACGATCACAGCCAAGGCTAAATTTTGAATTTTTGAATTTTTCGCGGGCCTTTCAAACCTTTTCAAAGTCAATTAAAGGCGGGAAGTTTGGGTTATCACACTATTGGCAACATTAACGTTTGTTTGTATTGGAATATCAAATAGTTTAGGTTAGTTTGTAGTTGTGTAGTTGAAATAGTGTTGATATTAATTGTCTATGCTGTTGATTGTGTGTTTAATAAAAAATGGACTTATAAGTCAAATAGCAGGTCAATATTGTTTAAAACCGAGGAACGAGAAGTGAATTTCGAAGAAGTTTTATAACAATTTTTTTTGGAAATTTATAATTTTAACACATAGATGCTATATTACTATTTAATTTCATATTATATTACATTCCCATGTTATTATGTTTCTTTAGCTGCTCCTTCTTTATTTCAATGTCTAATCCTAAAATTTACTTTCGTAGCAAATATTCCATATTTTTTCTTTCTTCCTCTTGTTCTTGTTCAGTTGTGCCTCAACTAACTGCAGTTTTTACTCCCCTCTGGCGCCTTTATTTATTCATCAAAAAAAACATGTTATTCTTGTGATAACCTAAATATCCTGCCTTAAATTGACATGTGAAAAAAAATTGAAAGCCCGCGAAGATTTAAAAAATTCAAAAATTAGGCCTTGGCTGTGATCGTCTGACAAAATGGAATCCCACATTATGTTTCTTTTTTTTGAGGTGGAATGCGTTCAGATGCAAGTGGTGGACCCCAAGGTTGGAAAAGTACCGCTAAATAAAACACAAAATATATGGAGGACACAAAATCATTTATTCCTCCCCTGACAAAAAAAAAGCTGCGGCTAAGTTGTGCAGGTTGAAGACACCTCTTAATGCTCAGCTACAAAAAAAACTTGCCTAACTTTGAATGAAATCAAATTAGACGTTCTGAATCAATGCAAATATCTGAATATCACAAATTGAATAACAACTAAGAAAAAATCTGAAGTAGTTGAAGTAACTGCATGCAAATACAGAAGTTATAGCGGGCGTGTGGCACCAAATTAAAAATTATGGCAGTCAACAAGAGAACAAAATTGTAATAAAAACTCTATGCAGCGACAGCGACACCAGATCGCTATAAGAGTGTGGTAATCGAACTATATCAATTCCATTCTAGAGCACAGCAAAATTACCCACAGGGTACGTTGTAGCACGAGCGGAATTTGGGGCTCCTGGTTGTGGCTGTTCTCCCACCACGACGGTGATTCTACGCTATTGGTAAGCACATGCCGCCCAGCACCCCTCTCTCTAACGAAGAAACGTCCCGCGCTAAAGGGTCGTTACGGTCGCAAACTCGTGGTTGGAAAGCCCGGCCTTTGGGACAAGTCGGGAGCGTCACGTCATCCCGACCGCTCCCCTGACTTCTATTCAATATCTGCGTCCTTTGTGCAGATGGAGCGACCGCCAGCTCGACAAAGAACCGCGCACTCCGCTTCCGCCACGTGTTTCTGTGTTATTTACCTCAATCCCATTTAAATGTTCAATTTCTATGACTCTGATATTAAACTACAACCGAACAAGTGTTAAAGTTAAAAAAAAGTAAACATTTAAATTCACCATACACTCCCGTGAAATTTGAAACAGCAAAGAATTGTTATCTGAGATTAAGATTGGACATCAGACAATTTAATGATGGAAACATTAATCAACAAAATACATATTTACATGAAAAAAAACTAGCAAAGATTTATAAATACAAAAAAGATCTGGTGTGGAATAATACTTCAATTTAAATTATACAACAGAGAAAATTACTGAAGGTAAAATTGTGAGATACAGAAAAATTGCATGAGGTGAAAAATTGCAAAGCTAAAAGAAATTACATGGGTTTAATGTTTGCCACACTTTATCGACGGTTCAAACAAAGAATTTACATGAAGTTAAATTATACCACACTTTATCAACGGTTCAAACAAAGAATTTATAGGATGTTAAATTATGCCTTGATCCAAGTAACTGGTTACTTAAAACAATTAGCTTTGAGAGTTTACCGTGGACTGTCCCCAACTTATACCAAACAAAACACATGATAAATAAACACAAAATGCATTCAGCGTCTCGAGAAATGCTTCTCGGTGGTGTAATTTTCAACGTTGCGAGAAAAATGTCTCGGTGATGTACC